GAGCTTCCAGAAGATTTGCATCAGTAATTACTAGCAGGACAGATTAAGCAAAAAATGGTTTTCATTACAAACTCAAGGGGGTTCCTGAGGTGTTTGGGACTTTCTTCTAAAGTATTGGTGTTTTATCTTGGTCATGCCATGAATGTTGAAGTTAAGAATTAGGATTATGACAAGGACCACTTGACATTCATGCTTAGTTGTAGTGCTTGAGGTTGTTCCTGTAGTGCTTGGGGTATGCTTCATTAGTGCTTGAGGTTGTTCCCGTAGTGCTTGGGGTATGCTTCATTAGTGCTTGAGGTTGTTCCTGTATTGCTTGGGGTATGCTTCATTAGTGCTTGAGGTTGTTCCCGTAGTGCTTGGGGTATGCTTCATTAGTGCTTGAGGTTGTTCCTGTAGTGCTTGGGGTATGCTTCATTAGTGCTTGAGGTTGTTCCCGTAGTGCTTGGGGTATGCTTCATTAGTGCTTGAGGTTGTTCCTGTAGTGCTTGGGGTATGCTTCATTAGTGCTTGAGGTTGTTCCTGTAGTGCTTGGGGTATGCTTCATTAGTGCTTGAGGTTGTTCCTGTAGTGCTTGGGGTATGCTTCATTAGTGCTTGAGGTTGTTCCTGTATTGCTTGGGGTATGCTTCATTAGTGCTTGAGGTTGTTCCTGTAGTGCTTGGGGTATGCTTCATTAGTGCTTGAGGTTGTTCCTGTATTGCTTGGGGTATGCTTCATTAGTGCTTGAGGTTGTTCCCGTAGTGCTTGGGGTATGCTTCATTAGTGCTTGAGGTTGTTCCTGTATTGCTTGGGGTATGCTTCATTAGTGCTTGAGGTTGTTCCTGTAGTGCTTGGGGTATGCTTCATTAGTGCTTGAGGTTGTTCCTGTATTGCTTGGGGTATGCTTCATTAGTGCTTGAGGTATGCTTCATTAGTGCTTGAGGTTGTTCATGTAGTGCTTGGGGTATGCTTCATTAGTGCTTGAGATATGCTTCATTAGTGCTTGACGTTGTTCCTGTAGTGCTTGGGGTATGCTTCTTAAGTGCTTGAGGTTCCTGTAGTGCTTGGGGTATGCTTCTTAAGTGCTTGAGGTTGTTCCTGTAGTGCTTGGGGTATGTGCCTGTAGTGCTTGACATGTGCTCCTGTTATGCTTGATATGTGCTTCTCTAGTGCTTTAGTGCTACAACTACGACAATACTGCAGATCTTTCTGCTCACTTTAAAAACTGTTCATTAGTTCGATATAGTTTACAAAAGACAGGTTGATATTCACAGTAATAAATACTTGTGTGACACAGCAGTTACAGGATATCAAATAGTTTTGAGGTCAGAATGATTATTGTTGGTCCCCAAATTGTTTCCAGGGGTTCATATGACAGGTTCCAGGATGAAGGTCAGCATTACTGCACAAACTAATTGGCCCGGGGCTGACAATGGCAGGTCAGCTCCTCATGAAGGGTGTCAGCTGAAATGTTACATGGCTTAGATGCCCTACACTCATATTGTTTTTCTGCCATTTGATAGACTGACATTTTCTGTAGGATATTGCAGATTTGTTCTTTTGTAAAGCTATCATTTGTAGGCATTTAAAGGGAAGTAGAATACTATATTAGATGTTATGTGTGAGAACTTCCTTTTCACATTTGTAAGGAACATAATAATGTTTCTGAAAGCTATAATAACATTTTGTTGATATATGTTATCATTTCCTCATAACCTGCACATTCCATGCACATTGTTTTTGTTGATGTTTTGGTTCACCAAATTCATTAATAAAGATTTGGCACACGTCATGGGGTTCATAGTGTGTTATATTCACTGAGGAATGTAGCAGTGCTTAGCAGTGAACACCCAGCACTTCTAACATTGAGCTACAAAGCACATAACAAGAGATTTATTTTTAGTTAGTAGGCCTCTAGAGTAGTAACATTGAACAGAAACTATTATCTCTTCCTACCCAATCTGCTTTACAAATGTTATGAGAAACAAGGATATGTTTTATATGGCCTGAGATGGTATTTTGCTGAACCTTGTTCTACAGTCTGAGCAATTCATTGTGACAGTGTGTGGTTATTTCCAGTCAAGTTTATGAGATTTCTGGCAGGGTTCTTCCAAGACTAAATATTTGGAGTTCTCAGCATGAGATAAATGATCAAATGCATCTGTGTTTTGTCTAAACAAGGAGTTTTTAGACTTCCATTATTCCAAGCCATTGACTACACAGTGGATGGTGGTACAGCAGCAGGTAGCTCCTCCTCTCAGTGATGATTATCAGGGATGGAAGTCAGGGTGCCCTGTCATGGGCTGATGGTAACAACTAGTGATCTATGGCATCTGTCGATGCTGCAGCTAGAACAATAGGGTGAAGGTGATCCAGGCCCCCCAGAACACCCTTGTTAGAACACTGCCATTACCAGATATGCTTCAGGTATCATGCTTTGCTTGAAGTGTAATCATTGGTATACTTAGTGACTTCTTCCTTTTAGCATAAACTTTCTCCATTTTGTGATGGTGATAGTTCTCATGTCTCAGCAATTATGTGATCAGGGTAAGACTGAAGTTAGAAATTGCTCAGTGGTCAGACATCACAAAGAAATTGTCAGATTAACAGCTATCTTTATATATCCTAGCTGACTACTAACTGACCTTGCTAGTAAAAAATATCTTTTTACTGGGCTTCGACAGTTGGAAATGAACATCTGACAAGCAGGCAGGCAGTTTCCCCGAACCATGTGAAAATCACAGAAAATATGTGAAAGTCAAGTAATCCCATAATCCTCGGCTCTTCCACTACATACCTCTGTCCTGTTAACAACAGGTGCCCCTCACAGTCAGTAAGACAACAGTTGCTTTCACAGTCTGATAGACAGCATGTTATGTTTGACCAGAGAATACAAGCTATGTTTCCATGCAAGTTTTCTTCCTATTGTACTGTCTAGGCACAGATGTGTTGTTGAAGTCATATGACACCACCTTGTGTCAAGCTGGGCAGTGGGTGAGGAACTCTGGAATGTCTGCTGACCACTGTTACTGACCACCGTTACTGGCCAGCTGACAGTGGGAGTACAAAACATGATCCTTCTTAGATCAGGAAATATTTGTGAAATCAGCTGAAGTATTATGTAGATTCCCACAGCAGTTCTTGTCAAGAGAAGATGAGCTGTGGAAATAATTGTACTGAATGGACTGCTTTATGTTGAGACAGCACAAAACAGTATGTTTGTCCACATCAACATAACTATACAGTTCATTGTTTGTGACAGTGATGTATTTAAGTATATAAAAGAGATGAAAAAAAAAAATTCAATCTAGTCCTGCATGATCACTATTATTCCCATATCATTAATTTATTTTCTATATATATTTAAACAAAATCAATGCAGCTTATGAAAGCAAACAAAGCAAGTTCTTTTCCAGAGTCATATGAAATCTGAATGGGAAATATTTGAGCAGAGAAGTCAACTCAGTAATAAAATATTTCACAGACTATATGTTAGTCTACATCACTGTGGAATATTTGGATATTATGAAACCAAAACAAGTCTAGCCATCTCTGTTCCTCATCAGCACAAGGATTTTTTTTAGTTTTACAGGAAGTGTTTTGTTCTACAGGAAACATTGTGGTAGTAGAACATTTTATACACAATAGACTGGTCCTTTCTTTTGTTCCCTCGCTCTATGTTGGTGTTCATGGTTCCTTGAGAACAATCTAAGCCAATGCCTTATGAAATTGCCCTTTTAAATTACATACTGCCATTTGATCAAGTGTTATCAGGAAGAAATGAAGAAAAACTATATGGATAAATACATTTTTTGTGCGATGTGATTCCTGTGTGTGCGCCCTCTGCTGGGGCAACCTTCATCTGACACTATGTACATAGCATGTGGACCAGCGCCTGTTTTCATTCCCGAGATATCTTGCACTCCTTGGTATGGAGCTGGTTTATGGGCATATCGGTGTGTTCTCCAGCTGGGCTGGGTTTGTCAACAGCTTGCTACATCTGGAATTCAGACCTATTGCTGGGGTAATTTACGACCACAGCTACAGAAAGTCAACATCAAAATATATACACACATGAAATAAATTTGAAAAGTCAGATTTTAAAGAAGTCTTTGAGGTAATTTTATCTGAAGGTGGCTTAAACTAAACTTAAAGTGTTTTGTTTTCTAATATGCTGCACATTTCCTAAAATTTTAAAATATGAGTGTTCAACTTTGGTGTTTTGCTCTTTCCTACTTTACAAGTCCTGATTGCTACTGAAAGCAGTGTGTGGTTGTGCATTCCAGTCTCTTAACACATTCATCTGCAACATTTGGAGTATTTCTGTATATCAGGTAACATGTTTGAAAACATCTGTATGTAAGTGTGAAAATCATTCTTGTGACACCTCTGACTGGCATCTGGTTTAGCTCATTCAACATGTTCAAACATATTTGCTTTTGCAATTAGTCCCTGTGAAGAAGTTTACCAAACACTCAGTCTATGAAAGCTTCATTGCACAGTAAGCTTCTATGTCTAAACAATCCTTTCAACACATGCTGTCTAAATGTTTGGCAGATTGGTGATAATACTGATATTCTCTGAGACCCTGGCTGATCAGATGATGATTCACATCTGTTTGCAAAATAGGCACTCATGAAAGTTGTCTTTCTTTCAGAATTGATAAAGCAGTTTGCAATATCAGCTCAGCACTCTGGTACCCTTGCTCTTGTTGCCGTGGTACCCTTGCTCTTGTTGCCGTGGTACCCTTGCTCTTGTTTCTGTGGTACTCTTGCTCTTGTTGCCGTGGTACCCTTGCTCTTGTTGCTGTGGTACCCTTGCTCTTGTTGCCGTGGTACCCGTACTCTTGTTGCCGTGGTACCCTTGCTCTTGTTTCTGTGGTACTCTTGCTCTTGTTGCCGTGGTACCCTTGCTCTTGTTTCTGTGGTACTCTTGCTCTTGTTGCCGTGGTACCCTTGCTCTTGTTGTACCCGTCCACTGGTTATATTCTTCTGAGATATATCTGACATTGTGTTCCTCCAGTTGTGATGCTGACATACGAGAGGGAGACTGTCCTCATCAAGGCTCTGCAGAGACTGAAGGGTCTTCCTTTCCTCAACAAGGTGATAGTGGTGTGGAACAACCCCATCCCTCCATCTCCAGAACTGCGCTGGCCAGACATCAACGTGCCACTTAAGGTAGGTTCACCCTGTGTCTCTTCTTCTGTGCCATGATCCACTTTGGTTTGAATCCCACTTCTACCAAACTGTGTCTTTGGTCACCATGGAAACTGTGCTGGTAGGTTCTATGAAGGTTAAAAGTCTGCATCAGCTTTATATCCAGGGCTCAAATTTGGGTAAACCTACACTAACACCTGGACCCATTCCTATGATTCTTGCAATCACCTGCCCTGTTCAGGGGTGGATATAACTTAAGAATTGCTTGTGTACTCCGGTACATTGACACATGTAAAATCACTTGCCCTGATAATTTTTCCACTATACCGGCCGTTTTCTTGTTGATTTTTTAAATAAACAACATTATTAACATTGGAAAGTCAACTGGACACGGTCACACCGGTACAGCGTGATATACAAATTTGCTTGCCCGACAGAAAAAAGCACTTGACTCTGACATTTGGCAATAGGTTATTTCCACCCCTGCCTGTTTCATTAAACATTCTACCGACCATTCAGTCGAAATAAAGGATAGGGAGGTAACTTAGGGAGGTAACTTGTATAAGTCACCTATGAAAATGTTTTCAAATGTATCAAATCCAACATTTCTGTCCTTCCCACCCTTAGAAAATACGAAGCTTCAAACGCCCATTAACTGGCCCTATCATCCATTCATCAAACCAACATACTGTCCAACAAACCAACTTACACAAAGAAACAAAGCCAACCACCAACCCATGAACCCACAAACACAACCACAAGCCCCATGCACCACCAACCCAACCACCATCCCACCAACCCAACCACCAACCCAACCACCAACCTTCCATGCACCACTTAACCCAACCACCAACCCAACACAAACACCATCCCACCAACCCAACCACCAACCCATGCACCACGAACCCAACCACCATCCCACCAACCCAACCACCAACCCATGCACCACGAACCCAACCACCATCCCACCAACCCAACCACAAGCCCCATGCACCACCAACCCAACCACCATCCCACCGTCCCAACCACCAACCCATGCACCACAAACTCAACCACCATCCCACCAACCCAACCACCAACCCATGAACCCACAAACACCACCACTAGCCCCTTGTACCACCAACCCAGCCACAATCCAACCATCCCAACCACCAACCCACAATCCCTGCACCACAAACTCAACCACCAACCCATGAACCCACAAACACAACCACAAGCCCCTTGTACCACCAACCCAACCACCATCCCACCATCCCAACCACCAACCCATGAACCCACAAACACAACCACAAGCCCCTTGTACCACCAACCCAACCACCATCCCACCATCCCACCATCCCACCATCCCAGCCACCAACCCATGAACCCACAAACACCACCACTATCCCCATGCACCACAAACCCATGCACCCACCATCCCAACCTACTGTGAAAAAACATGTCCACGCCAACAAAATGGCTCCACCCCACCCCACCCAAAAACAGTGGCGAGAGGGTCATTCTTCCTAAAGTAGTTTTCAGTGCATGAAGACAAATGTGCTGGTATATTTTCTCATTTTATGTATTTAGTTTCCTCAGTGGGAATTTCCATGTTGTTTCCACCAGACGACACCCAGCAGCAACTCTGTGCAGCAGGAAATGATTTCCTGCCTTAAACTGAAAGGAAATAAGTGCAAAAATATCTGACAGTTCGTTTGAAGGATCTAAACAGGTTTCTATGCACCGAATTTGAAGGGACTGATTCCAAACACTTTTGTATGTTTTTTCAATATCATGATTAAGATGATACATATACTCTTCATGAGTCTTATGTAAAGTAGACTTCATTGGAAAAAACAATGTCTTTGATTATATAATATCAGTTCATTTTTGTTATGAATTTTGTTTGAAGATAATTTTGCTGAAAATGATATTTTGGGCTTTGAGATGACCCAACTGAAGGATTGGCTCTTTAGGAATATTAGCCTGTGGATTATGAGGATCAGCATTTGAAAACATAATTATGTTTCTTGGATATCATGTGTAAATACTAAGTTATGTGATGTTCATAACATGCCTCACACAAGTTTATCTTGACATTTTGATTATTTCACAGTACAATTGCACGTAATTGTTTCACTCCGAGATAATGGTTTCCTGATGGTTTGTTGTAGGTACTTGTACCGGGTCAGGTTACGTGGAACCTAGTTCACTTGAGTCACTACGGCAGTGTGCACACTTCCAATACAGGCCATACTACTCTATTGAACCAGTTCTTTCTCATTACTATATATAGTTATTCTGTCATGGCTTGACTCAAAATAAGTTAGATGGGACCTGATTCATTTTTGGTATTATAGTTTAGGTGTCATGGTAGATTAACGGTATGTCAATTCTGCCTCCAACAATATCAACCCCCTGGTTCAAGTATTCTTCCTTTGATGATGTATGAAGTTTACCATTTCGACGGAACATATTTTCAGTTTGGCACATGGTACTGAGATGGTTTAGAGTTTATCTGGTTTTGCTTCAGAGAACAAGTGCATATAGCTTGTGTTTAATAATCTCAGCAAATCCACTAATGATTACATGAATCTTGTCTGATGTACATGGTGGAGAGGTTCTCTGTTTATCAAGTGTGCAAATCATCAGGAAGTATGTACTTGGGAGCCCGGTATCATGTGCCCTATGTAGTTGAAGGCTGACTATCATAGTATATTTATAGGGATACATCAGTACATCAAAATGTAAAGATATTTGTTTGGTAAAATCTGCTTATTCTAATATTGCAGTGTATGTCTAAGGGTGTTTATTGGTTTAACATCTGCCTATATTTGAAAAAGAGGGGAGGGGAAGGGAGATACGAAAATCACCATGTCTGTCTATCTATTTTTATAGCTGCAGGGGTGTTGGGGTAGCCTAGTGGTTAGAGCATTCGCTCGTCATGCCAAAGACCCATGTTCGATTCCCAAATGGGTACAATGTGTCCCCCACCGTGATATTGCTGGAATATTGCTAAAGCGGCGTAAAACCCAACTCACTCACTCACTCACTCACTCACTCACTCACTCACTCACTCACTCACTCACTCACTCACTCACTCACTCACTCACTCTGGAGATGCATTGTGAAAACTTGCCTTACAGATCAGTCTAATGATGAACTTGTTTGCCTTTTTCATTATTTAGAATTTTTATTATTTTTTCTTATCCTGACTCATGATCTTTTGCTTATCTCCCTTTCCCTTGCGAATGGTAGTGGAACACTTGAATCCCTTGAAGTTCCCGAAGCGGACGTAAAAATACACTCACCCACGAGTTACCTCCCTTTTGCCCTTTCCTGCGCAAACAGTCATGTGACCAGCCTTACTTGTCACTCTCTCCCTTTTCGCCCAAGTGGATGGTTGGGCGAGCACTGGAGTCCCATATACGGCATTATATCCTTTTTATTTAGGTCCTTCTTCTTCAAAATTACGCTGTGTATGGATTTGGATATTATATGTAAAAAATTTGTAAAAATTATTTGTGTTTGTGCCATAATTTCATTGTGATGTAATTTGTTTACATTTATGAAATCTTGCAGTGTTTGGAGGCACAGGTTATCTGTGGCTGATCCTCACCCCCAATGCCCTCTGTACATCAAACCATGTTCTTCCAGCTTGCGATGTACTTATTGTGTTGATTTATCCAATCTACAATTTAATCAATATATGTCTTATATCTATAGACGTGCCATGGATCGGGTAAGGAAGTCATCTCAAGTCACGGCTGATAAAACAGGAGATCAGCCTGCAAACTGTATGTTGCTTGCTACTGCTGAAGTTCATAATACTGGTGCTATGTTCAGTACGTTGCAGGGGCAGTCTGCTGGTACGGGGTAAAGAAGAGATCGGCTAATACGCAGTTGACTCCGACTCAAGCTAAGAAAAAGACGTCATCTTCTTCTACGTCACAGAAGAAAGCATCTGTTACCAGATCGGAGGGTAAATCTACGCAGGCTAGTAAGTCAACGCATCAGAAATCCTTCAACGAAGAGATATTACCTCCACATGAAGTAGACGTTTTTGATGATCCCCCATTACTTCTATCCGAAGTACCTACGAGATCAGCGACTCAATCGACTACTAGATCGTCTCCTGCAACGGTCACAGCAGGCCAGCTGTTTGACGAACTACCACCTACTTCTCAAGTTGAGGCACAGAACTCATCAGCGTTCGCGAACACTTCTTCTACACCGCAGCAGCTTCAACCAACGCAGAACTTTGATCCGGGCGAATTTATGAGACAGTTCACCAACCAGATGATGGCCATGATGGAACGTAGGTTCGAGGAAGAAGCGAAGGCAAAGTCAGAGTTGGAACCAAAACAAGATCTGCAATTTCTGGGGATAAGGTTTATCACAACACAGAATCGTATTGTCGTCCCAGAAGATCATTGGGTCAAGATACAAGCCATGCTTCCACTAGCAGTCATCTCTCCATTAACACTACGATCATGGCAAGCTCTACTCGGTCTTCTAACCTTGGCGCAGGACTTGACTCGCACAGGAGGTTACAACTAAGACCGCTGCAACGGTTCCTTACAAAGCATCTAGGCAGTGTCAACCCAATCTTGCTGCCAGACAACCTCAAGAGGTATCTACTGTGGTGGACACACAGGTCGAACGTTTGTGGAGGGACCTATTTACAAGAGCCTGCCTTCGACACACATCTCAATGTAGACGCTTCGATACAAGGCTGGGCAACATCTCAACAATCTAGTTGCATCAGGGAGCTGGTCCAAAATAGAGCAGCATCTTCACATCAATCTGCTAGAGATGAAAGCCGTGATCGACGCCTCACAACTATGGTCGAGCTCACCGAACAACAAAGTGCTGATGGTCCACACGGACAACTCAACAGTAGCATTCTCCATAAATCGGCAAGGATCCACAAGGTCTCCAAGCCTGCTACAGCTCACATTCCAGTTGTTCCACATCACGGAGGAAGCAAACATCTGGATAAAGGCGTGTCACATACCAGGAGCCAAGAACGTACTTGCAGACCACTGCACTCTCTCCGACCACTGCACCCGTCACCAATGGAATGGATGCTCCATCCAGAAGCATTCCAGCTCATCATAAGGGAAATAGGATCCCCTTGCATAGACCTGTTTGCCACGAGGTTCAACAAGCAAATACAGACATTTGTCTCACCAGTTCCAGAATCCTCAAGCCTGGGCAACAGATGCACTGAACATATTTTGGGAAGGACTAAACGCTTATGCGTTTCCACCCCCGATATTACTACCGAAAGTTCTGTTGAAGATCAAACAGACACAGGTGCTACAACTGACTTTGGTCGCGCCATACTGGCCAGCAAGTCACTTAGTGTATTGTTCCTAGACCTAATAGAAGATCTCGGAAGTCCAACAATCAAGTTTCCAGATTGGCCGAACCTACTCATACATCGGCACACCAAGCAAGTCCACGGGAACCCGACACTGTTCCAGCTACATGTGTGGACCGTATCAAAACATGTTTGAAGAAAAGAGGATACTCCGCCAGGGCAGCCAAGGCAGTAACGCTAGCGTTACGCAGATCTACGTAACATGTATGATGACAAGTGGCTGAAGTTTGAGACTTATGCAAGGCGGAAAGGCTTCATTGCGATGAAAGCTACTCATCCTCAAGTGGCGGAATACCTGTGTCGTCTTAGACAGACTAGACATCTGAAAGGTTCGACATTATCTACATACCTCGCTGCCATCAGTACAGTCATTACCATGCAAGTTGACGAAAGTACCAGAATTACTTGTTCTGCTGAGATCTTTTAAACTGGAGGACCAGCAAAAGAAGTTCAGAGCTCCGGCCTGGGATCTGAATGTAATTCTACGTCATCTTACGAGTGATGCCTACGAACCTCTAGACCAGACTACCTTCGAGTTGCTGACACAGAAGACTCTGTTCCTGCTTGCGTTAGCCACAGCAGCTCAAATATCAGAGATACATGCGCTGGACTTTGGTCGAACCAAATTCGACACGGGGCAACATGCTGCAGTTCATCTAGGACTTAGATGGGACTTCATTGCCAAGAACCAACTACCTGGTCAGCCAGATAGACAGTTCCACGTACCAGCGCTATCTACAATCCTCGGCCCAGAGGATATAGAAGACCTGTCCTTGTGTCCGGTCAGAGCCCTGAAGATATATCTTCAAAGACTGAGACAAGGAGATGAAAATTCAAGTGCCTGTTCATCCCATTATCAACAGAGACATCAGCAGAAGTCTCAAGAACGACGATATCGTTCTGGATGAGAGCCGTCATATTGAGAGCCTATACAGCAGCAAGACTAGAACCTCCTAGAGCTTCCAACCCACACAAAGTCAGAGCACTGGCGTCAACACTGGCTCTGCACAGAAATTGCTCTATACCAGCAATTATGGAGGGCTGCATTTGGAAGTCGGACACAGTGTTTGCCAACCAATACCTCCGAGACATAGCCACTGAAGACGTCTCAGGCATTCACCAATTTGGGCCTCTCGTTGTAGCACAGCAACTAACGGTTCCTCAAAGGCGTGGAAAATCTCACCCTTTATCACGTTGACTTGTTGATAACTTTTACTAAGGTAAAGTATTAGTTTGAAAGTCCATGCGCACAGTCTAGGACAGACTAGCATGAGTGATTAAATAGCCTGTACAGGTAATGATCTTACCTGTACGTGAAGGGGTTGCAACTCATTTATGATAAAGATCTTATAATCTATGGGTTGTTATCAGATATTTAGTAATAAGAAGATACTAGTTTATCTGAAGCCACATGAATCAATATGATTCAACTTGTCTGAGACTGAAGTAAGACAAGAGAGTGGTCCCCCCGAGTTATAACGGAAGTTGGAAGAATAGGATCAAGGAAATGCCGTTTCGCAGTTCCCATGGGAGGGGATACAGGACGTATCTAAGGACAGCTGATGAATCCAGGAAGTGGCCTGACCCACCACCAATCTGCAGGATTCTATAAGCAAAAGATCATGAGTCAGGATAAGAAAAAATATGTAACTTTTCAAGTAAAATTGATATTTTTATATTTATCCTGACTCATGAGGTCAAGCCCTTCCAACCTCCCCGCTGGAAACACTTAGGATTTCACAGCAGATCCAAGTGCATGGGCAGAAAAACAGGAGAGAGTGACAAGTAAGGCTGGTCACATGACTGTTTGCGCAGGAAAGGGCAAAAGGGAGGTAACTCGTGGGTGAGTGTATTTTTACGTTCGCTTCGGGAACTTCAAGGGATTCAAGTGTTCCACTACCATTCGCAAGGGAAAGGGAGATAAGCAAAAGATCATGAGTCAGGATAAGTATAAAAATATCAATTTTACTTGAAAAATTACATCTTTTAAAATTTTATAACTTGAGGACATGTTGGACTTCTACTGAAAATGAAGGTTGTGCTTGTTTCTGGAGCAGAACTCCCAAACTGTTGAATATTTTGTGATGAAACATGCTATATACTTCAGTGTAGTGGGGACCCTGCCTATTTATGATCTGGGATATTGAACAATACTGAATGGCAATATTTTATTTCCCGCTGGTCTGACGGTATTCAGTAGCAGTGAACCAAACAATGTGAAACATAGGTAGCCAAACTCCATCTCCTAAACTGTAGCAGAACAGGTGATGTGTCAGCTCCTGATCACTCTTGTTCTCAATATTGGTAACAAGATTATTGCAAGTTACAAGTATTACCTTCTCTTGTCCCAAAAGGGGCGGTGGGGTAGCCTAGTGGTTAAAGCGTTGGCTCGTCACGCTGAAGACCCGGGTTCGATTCCCCACATGGGCACAATGTGTTAAGCCCATTTCTGGTGTCCCCCGCCGTGATATTGCTGGAATATTGCTAAAAGCGGCGTAAAACTAAACTCAGTCAGTCAGTCTTGTCCCAAATATAGTTTTCCTTATTTGACATGTTATCAGTTCAAACATGTCCACTTGGTGTGATGTACTGTTGTCAGTATTGACTGTGTAGATGTTATAAAGGTGTTCTATGATGATGGGTGTTTCCACAGAGAGTGATGTGGTTCTCAGTATGGAGGAAGGCTTCTTCAGGTCTTTACACAGGCTTTCAAATCAGAGGAAACAATGATTTTCATGAAATATATTGGCCTTGCCTCATAACTTTCTAGTCTCTATTATTTTCTATATAGATAATATGTATGTTTTCAGATTGTCAGGACATACAAGAACAGTTTGAACAACCGATTCCTCCCCTATGATTCAATAGAGACGGAAGCAATTCTCAGTATTGACGATGATGCACACCTTCGACATGACGAAATCATATTTGGGTTCAGGTGAGATGGCATCTTGAATGTGAACATGAGGATACAATGTTGACAGTCAAATAATGGTCAGTTGTTTTTTGGATGAAATTCTGAAAAAGATGGAGTTGATAACATCTTTAGTTTCATCCTTGTTGCTTGTTTATTTTTTCCTGAATGTGCTGATGAGACTTGAAAGATAATGTTTTTTCTTGTTACTGTGTTCAGCTTGTAATAGTGTACTGATGATTACTGACGCACCTGTTTTGCTATATTTACTTGGTTTATGAATCAGACAAGATGCTCCAGTGTACTCAAATGTTGAATGAAATTAGAATTTTGATAAGTTGTTGCCTTCCTGTTAAGACTGTTAACTAGTTAACTTCTGTAATATATGAAAATACTCATCAAAATATTTTAATACTGGAAGTGAAGTAACCCTTCATCTCTTCCTTTTTCAATTTATTCAGAGGTGGATCAGAAAAACATGCTCAAGAAGTAGATCTAGAACCTGTATTTTTGGAAAAACAAAAAAAATCTTTTAAGTGATTAATAAAACAGATGCTGTGTTATCAGGGTATGAAAATATACAAATTAATTTTTCATTTGCAACTTTTTGACAGAGTGTGGCGTGAGGAGCGAGAGCGTATTGTGGGGTTTCCGGGCCGGTTCCATGCATGGGACTTGAAGCACCAGTCCTGGCTGTACAATTCCAACTACTCCTGCGAGCTGTCCATGGTCCTCACTGGCGCCGCCTTCTACCACAAGGTACCAACTAACAAGAAGCTCCTGTCACATTTTACATGCTGTACTTCTTTGACACGAAACAAAGTACTGATAGTTGTATTCCTGTAATGAATGTTTAAAATTGATTTGGGTTTTTACTCCAGTAGTGCATGAATATCAGATATCCTCAGTCTCAATATTTTCAAAGACCCTTTCTTCAGCTTTCAGTCTTCATGACAAAGTGTTGCAGATACCATGGTTATGTTTTACAAGCATAACCTTGTGTGCATTGTGAAGGGGAGACAACTGGACAGTACTAAAGTCTTTTAATCTGTTAAGGACCTTTTATAATTTATAGCTAGGGGGGTGGGGTGGTGATGATTTTATATGGAGAAGCATGTACAATGTGAATCACCCCCCTAAAATTTTTGTACAAAATAATTGACCCCCCTTGCATGTCGAGTACAAAATCAATGACCCCCCTCCTCTTTTCCTATAATTTCTAAGCATAACTTTAAACATAGGATTATGTACAAAATTGCTGACACCCCCAGTAATGCGTGTGTACAAAATTGCTGACCCCCCTAGCTCCCCAGAACAAAATGGGTGATCCCCCTTAAAATCATCATCACCCCCTAGCAATAAATTATGAATGGTCCCTTAGTGATACAAGATGTTCCATGCATCGCCTGTCTATGTTCCAGTACTACTCATACCTGTACAGCTACGTGATGCCATCTGCTATCCGAGACAAGGTGGACGAGTACACCAACTGTGAAGATATTGCCATGAACTTCCTCGTGTCCCACATCACACGCAAACCTCCAATAAAGGTAGGAACTACTGAGATACTAACATATGTCATTGTACAAAACATATCTGCAGAATTACTAATCTGCAAAAATCATATTTGTCACACCTTCAAAAAGTTCCCGCCGCAAAGTTGCCTGCCAAGAGTTACTGGTCATGGGTTTAAAATACCAGATTCAAGCCCCCATTTTACTGATTGTTTTCTTATTTATACCTTGCATTGTAGGAAATAAAAAATGTAGCCATTTTCAGTTTCTTGTTTCATTATTATCATTCCTAAACTATTTAAAAATGCTAATGAACAAATATCCCACCCCTGTGAAGGCTTCTGCAGCAGTAAGGTGCTGCCCTATGGTATAACTGAAATATACTATTGAATGAGGCAGAAGAACAACCAGCCTAAGTAAACTTAGGCTCAGTGTTATAACGTAAACTTAGGCTCAGTGTTATTACGTAAACTTAGGGTCAGTGTTATTACGTAAACTTAGGCTCAGTGTTATTACGTAAACTTAGGCTCAGTGTTATTCGTTACACTGCCATACTGCATCTAACAAGCCCTAGTAGCAGGTCGCATCAGCTAACCTTTGAGCAACCTATGACTGTCCAGTCATATGCGAGACAGCTGAACAGATTTAACCAATCAGACAATGACTGCTATTTAGGGTTTGGCAGGACTTTCAAAATGGCGATGCATGATGAAATTGACTGCGCTCGGAAACGTTCTTCTACATTTTGGTGTAAAAGAGATGAAAAAGCAACTTTTAAGAAATTTTAAAGTGTTTGCTGGTGAATAAAGACTGAGTTGCCACACTACCAACTGGATTTGGCAAGTCACTTGCTTTTCAAACTTATGTTCCCGTTCGTTGCGTGTTGGATTTTACACATACAGGCAAGACGATTGTTTGCCACTTGGAAGTGATCATGTGGAAAATAGCATTCGGAATCGTTTGAATACAAAAGTTTTCGAGGTAAAAGTTCTAACGGTATCCTAACTTTGGCGATTTGGTAAGCTGTGTTCTGATTGGTCATTTGAAAAGGTTAGCTGACACAACCTTCTACTAGGGTTTGTTAGACTCAGTATAGCAGTGTAATGAATAATACTGAGCTAAGTTTTCTTAGACTGAAGAACAGCAAGACTGTAGTTGAGAATCTTGTAATAATCCTGATGATGATCCACTTCCACAGGTGACATCCCGATGGACGTTCCGGTGTCCAGGCTGTCCACAAACTCTGTCCAGCAATGATTCCCACTTCCAGGAGCGACACAAATGCATCAACTTCTTTGTGAAGGTGTACGGCTACATGCCCCTCCTGTACACACAGTACAGGGTGGATTCTGTGCTGTTCAAAACTCGACTGCCACATGATAAACAGAAGTGCTTCAAATATATTTGAGGCTGTGGAAGGTGGGGTATGTTCCCCCCTCAGTGGCGTTACAGGGTGCTGGTTGAGACATACTGCCTCAAGGCATAGTGTTGCAAATATATAGTGGGGATCTTACAAGCATAACTTATTGGGCACTTTGGAAGGGAGACAACTCTGTAATACATAACAGCATCTGTCTCTGAGGCAGACAGTCCGACAGTCTTTCATGAGGGAATACTATGTCCATTACACAAAGCAGTCCTAGTGCTATGATCTTTAAAACAGACTTGTGGCAGTTGTGGTGCTATGGTCACTTTGTGTTGGTGTGCCTCTGTTCTCCACTGTTGACCAAGGAGTAAACACCAAATGCACAGGAAGACTTTTACTCATACAGAACAAAATCTTTACCAGGTTTCAAACACAGCGAAGCACATTTAATTTCATGACTTCAGGGCGTTAACTCATCTACACATTCATGGGGGAATTCAATGTAGATTTTATTCATCAAATCACCAAAAATATTTTAGGTATGTATGACTGTATATTTTCATCAACGATAATGTTATCAGAAGGATGTAAAACAATGGACACAGGTGTTGTATGTTACTGAGGAGTGTTTTGTCTGAGATGCAGCCAAAGAGGCAGTGTACTTCATGACAACAGGGGTGTGGGAGCTACACAACTTCACATCATTGTGAGGAGTTCTCATACATCGACTTCACCAAAGAAAAACAAGTCCTTCACTTGTATATACAGATGTGCTGAACAACTGTCGGTTCTGGATGTGACTTGGAACAGCTCTCTGTACTGGATGTGACTTATAACAGCTGTCTGTACAGATTGTAATGGGTGTGACATGGAACAGCTGCCTGTACTAGATGTGACTTGGAAGAGCTCTTTGTACTGGGTGTGACATGGAACAGCTGTCTGTACTAGATGTGACTTGGAGCAGCTCTCTGTACTGGATGTGACTTATAACAGCTGTCTGTACAGATTGTAATGGGTGTGACATGGAACAGCTGCCTGTACTAGATGTGACTTGGAAGAGCTCTTTGTACTGGGTGTGACATGGAACAGCTGTCTGTACTAGATGTGACTTGGAACAGCTCTCTGTACTGGATGTGACTTATAACAGCTGTCTGTACAGATTGTAATGGGTGTGACATGGAACAGCTGCCTGTACTAGATGTGACTTGGAAGAGCTCTTTGTACTGGGTGTGACATGGAACAGCTGTCTGTACTAGATGTGACTTGGAACAGCTCTCTGTACTGGATGTGACTTATAACAGCTGTCTGTACAGATTGTAATGGGTGTGACATGGAACAGCTGCCTGTACTAGATGTGACTTGGAAGAGCTCTTTGTACTGGGTGTGACATGGAACAGCTGTCTGTACTAGATGTGACTTGGAGCAGCTCTCTGTACTGGATGTGACATGGAACAGCTGTCTGTACTTGATGTGACATGGAACAGCTCTCTGTACTGGGTGTGACATGGAACAACTGTCTGTACTAGATGTGACTTGGAACAGCTGTCTGTACTGGATATGACATGGAACAGCTGTCTGTACTAGATGTAACAACTGTGAAGTAACTATATTCAAGGCTGGTATAGGATGGTCTGTGAAGTTGTAGTGCACTGAAGGCCATCAGGAGAAACCTGCCTGCATTGCAGTAGAGTTGGATGATGAGAATTGTTCCAAATAGGGCTTTTGTATTGGACGAATCCTGTCCAGTCAGATCAGACAAGGGGAGGTAATCTAGTGTCACACTGTCTTTAGAAAACTATTCCAAGAGTGTCAGATGCCATGTTGCCATTGATGTGTTCTCAGACCATTTTGTTCAAGCACCACTGAATGAGTAGAAGGCTGCTTGGTGCTTCATTTGATGATGTGTTTAATACAAATAGGACCATCACAATCTTTCTGTTTCTCAGATATTCATTCAGTGATCCAGTTTTAAATCATGAATACTAAATAAAAATAGGTCTAAGCCTACAGTCACAATTCCATATATTTCAACAGTCAACTTTGTACATAATCAGAGATATTTGTCTTCATACTGTCAAGGAAAGATGTACACATTGATACACTTAAACTGACATGTGCGCACATGCACGTATACACGGACGAGTTTGCACACACACATTCACTCACTCACTCAGTCGCTATCTCTATCTCACACACACACACACATTCACTCACTCAGTTCCTATCTCTATCTCTCTCTCTCACACACACACACACACACACACACTCACTCACATTACTCATATTAACAGTTGAAGAGCTATGTTTTAGAATGCATAATCAGAATTTTAGTGCTATTAGCTAGACCGTGATCTTACAGAAATACTGTAGCAAACAGTGGCATTGTCTTGATAGTGTAATGGCATAGCATAATACCTGTTAACATTAGGTGTTATTCAACATGAAGCATGTCAATTGTCATACAGTGTCCATGAAGTGACTGTTTACAAGAAGCCTATTTCCTAAGGAATAATGGAAGGATATTGCTTTTGTTTCGTGTGCTACTCCAGAAGGTCCCAGAGGTTTGATGTAAGGGATATACAACACATGTTGGAGTCTCATCTGTCAAACAGATTTCCTGAATCTTGAGATGTAGTTTACTTGTGGTTCTATATCACTTATTCCATATTGCTGATAGTGCTGTAATTGTTTAGTGGTCAGTGTGTACAGTTCTGCAAGTTTTCATGCGAGTCATGTTACCAGATTGACATATTTTATTCCAAATAGGCCAACATTTCCGACACACCTTTGTACTTAAGACTGCATTTCAAAAGTCTCAGTACATCGGATAACTTTTCGTAGATCTCTGCACATTGAACTTAATTTCTCAGTTCATATACCTCAGTTCCCTAGACTTGATTTTATATGTTTAAGTACCTCAGATCCCAGAACATTGGTCTTCATGTCATACATCGCACTTTATCCCAGAACATTTCATACGTCTCACTATATCCAAGTATATTTCATATGTCTCACTATATCCAAGTACAATTCATACATGTCACTATATTCCAGTTCATTTCACATGTCATATTATGTTGAAGTACATTTCATATAACTAGGAACACTAGACTCTTTTTCATACATCATAGTACATCAGATTCTATTTCATATGTTTCAGTACTCCAAACTGTATTTCTTATATCTGTCAGTACATCAGACTATATTTGTGTACATCTCAGTACTTCGCACCTCAGTACATCTTATACAACAGAACACTGTACATAATGATATCATTTGAACAATATTTGATTAAAGGGTACATATGACTAGGGTAGAATTCTTATACTGACATTACACATACCTTCATAAAGCAGTGTCGCTGTGTATTCCCGTCTGTTTTCTACAACACCTGTCCAGAGCCTGAACTATCCTGAACCTGCCAACTACTTGCCACATCATTTGTATGTTTAATGTTGGGGAACGTTGAACTATCCATGGACCTGCCAACTACTGTACACACTGTGGTTGGCCTGTATGATGCTTCAATCTGAGCTGACTTTCTCCATCTTTGACTAGCGTACACACTGTGGTTGGCCTGTATGATGCTTCAATCTGTGCTGACCTTTACAGCATATAACTCATTACTGACTTGTGAACAGTTTCTTTTTGGAATTGTGAAATCAGCAATAGCACAATCTCACCATGGTTAGTTGAAAATTATTAGTTATTGCTTGCTTATATAGAGTTGTGCCCCCTAGCTGCCAGGGTCTTGTGATGGGTTCTAACCCTGGTTATGACCTGTCTGTCATCACTGACTTGGGTCACTGTGACCACTTTAGGCTTTCCTACTACCTTTACGTCATATGTGGTTCCACCCTTTAAGATCTGGGTTAGAATTGATCTTTAGCAACCCATGCTTGTCGTAACAGGCGACTAACGGGATTGGGTGGTCACGCTTGCTGACTTGGTTGACACATGTCATCGGTTCCCAATTGCGTAGACCGATGCTCATGCTGTTGATCACTGGATTGTCTGGTCCAGACTCTATTTTTTTACAGACCGCCGCCATAAAGCTGGAATATTGCTGAGTGCGGCGTAAAACTAAACACACTCACTCACTCCCATGTGGTTCATGTGATACGGCTTTCAAGTTTGTTAATGACCTAAGTACTTGTAGGGCCACTGTTTTGACATATGTATCATTCATTTCACCTTGTTGATATTAGATACACCAGTCTTCTTTCATGCAATACACCACACTTGTTCAAGGCAGTCGCCATACTAGTTACATACAATATGCCAGTCTAGTTCAGCAATTGTTAGTGACTGTTAAGTTGCCATTTAGTGACACAGGTTCTAGATGTATACAACGATCTTTCACATCAGTCAATTTATACTTGGGCTATGGGCTATCATAGAGGTAAAGGAAAGCTATGGTTGTATCCCATTTCTGCAGATTGATGATGATGAATTCAATCACTAAACTGTCTTGTCCAGATTTAATTATGTACACACTGCCATCATGTTGCTAGATATTGCTAATTACAACAAACAAACCAAATCATGCTCTAAGATTGTCCTTGATGTTAATTTATCATGTTGTCATCAATCAGTGTTCAAAATATACCTTTTGTCATACCTCTAGCCACTACAGAACTCTTAATTGTATTGGTGAGAGATTGCTAATGCAGCCTTGGATTTTAACATGCTTTCATGGAGGGACTTATCAACTATGATATGTTTATCTGTATTTTTATATCAATATTTTTGAAACAACCCACTGTTCTTTTAAATTTGTTTACAAAATCAAATACACATAGTGTCAGACATTGTGATAAAGGTACTGAGTTTTAATAATTATCTTCATCACTTGGCAGGTTTATGTTTAATCAGCTGTGAACATGTAGAGCCTCTTTATGGATTTGTCGGTACTTGTGTCCAGTAAATCAAGCAACACCCTGACTCCTGAGAGGGAATCCAGCAAGAGCTCAGACCAGTGAGGCAACATCACACAGTCTCTTGTCTTCGTTGACAACATGGGCAACACTGGTGCTGTTGTCCTATGGCAGTCCGCTCTCCACACTGCCTCAGTGTTGGGCAATGGAAGGGTTTGCACAGTGTTCAGTCACAGGTATATTTGTAGACTATGAGTTATCAATAGGCTTATTCAGTTTGTTTAAATCACTGCCACTTGGGATGAGGGCTGTATGCAGGGCTCCAGATAATTTTTCATGATCAGGAGTACGTACTCCTTATTTTTCAATATAGGAGTACTGGAAAACAATAAGAGTACATTTAGAGTACTGAATGGAATTTAATGGAGTATCAGTAATCTTGTGTTTTTCGTTTCATATATGCACCACAACATTGCTACTCTTGTGTAAAAAGGTCAGTACACAATAAAACAATACTTTTTTCAGATAAATACGTCTGTAAATGATTCTAAGACCGTACACCATTGCTGTGGTGCGTATCTGCTACGTTCTCTAAAATATTTCCTACCGTATCGCACTTATTTTATATCCGTACATATGCCGATACGGCCCTTATCTGGAGCCCTGTGTATGTATTCACAGGAGATGAAGGAACATGGAGTGCACAAGACTGTGAGGTCCTGATGAGGTGAACAATGGGTTTGAACGCTGTAGGTTTTACATCCAACATATGTCAGGTTATGTACAAACAGTTAATGTTAAGCTGTAGTGAACAAAGATAACTTGAGCAGGGACTAGTTCGCTCAAGGGTTAACGCTTTACTCCATCAAGTTGCCTGATTACTTCTGGTAATGGTCTGTCTAGTGCTGAGAGTCAGATGAGGCAGGTTTTACTGCCTGCAGCAGTCTGCTGTATATTGTGGCTGTATGAAATATATACCATGTATCATTGATTTTATATGTTCACTGTCAGTATATTACCATCATGGAGTTGTATCTTTTAGTAACCATGATGACTGTTGTACCACCAGTGAGATGTTGTATGAAATACATGGTGACAGTGTTGTTTACAAGTTGTATATTTCATGTAAATAAACATGCTGATCTCATTATGTATAGTGTTGTGTGGTTTAGTGTTTGTTGGTGCACTTGTCTGTATGTTTGTGCTGGTTACAATGTTTGTTTCCCCTAATGTAATGTATGTTTTTGAGCATACAGACGGAACCAAGCAAGCCAAGACAGGTTCTGTGATGAAAGCAGTTAATGTCAACACTGGTATTCCTGTATATATACTGCGAGGGTGAGAGTCAGTCAGTCTGCTTGTGCCAGTCCTGACATACCCCTCCTTATGTTGCTGCCCGGCATGTGATGCCATGTCAAAGTGTAACATGAATAACGATCTCCTACATATTGTACTGATTCTAAGCCGATCAACCCATGTTTGATCCCCTTCTTACCAGACAGGGCATCAGTAAGTACTTGACTACCATGCCTTGGCCACACTTGATGACAATGCAAGGCCCTGAATTAAGAATATCTTGCTAAGACTTAAACAAGTACGCTTGACCCAGACTTGATTAACTAAATTTGATTAGTATGCCTGACCCAGACTTAATTAATAAATTTGATTAGTATGCCTGACCCAGACCTAGATTTGATAATTAACTTAATTAACTAAATTTGATTAGTATGCCTGACCCAGACTTATATGATTAATTAGATTTGATTAGAATGCCTGACCCAGACTTAATTAACTATATTTGATTAGTATGCCTGACCCAGACTTATATGATTAATTAGATTTGATTAGTGATTAGCCTGACCCAGACTTAATTAACTATATTTGATTAGTATGACCCAGACTTGACCCATGCCTGACCCAGACTTAATTAACTAGATTTGATTAGTATGCCTGACCCAGACTTAATTAACTAAATTTGATCAGTATGCCTGACCCAGACTTGATTAATTAGATTTGATTAGTATGCCTGACCCAGACTTAATTAACTATATTTGATTAGTATGCCTGACCCAGACTTAATTAACTAAATTTGATTAGTATGCTTGACCCAGACTTGATTAACTAGATTTGATTAGTATGCCTGACCCAGACTTAATTAACTATATTTGATTAGTATGCCTGACCCAGACTTATATAATTAACTAAATTTGATCAGTATGCTTGACCCAGACTTGATTAATTAGATTTGATTAGTATGCCTGACCCAGACTTAATTAACTAAAATTGATTGATCTGAGTATGCTTGACCCAGACTTGAAATTAACTAAATTTGATTAGTATGCCTGACCCAGACTTAATTAACTATATTTGATAAGTATGCCTGACCCAGACTTATATAATTAATTATATTTGATAAGTATGCCTGACCCAGACTTAATTAACTAAATTTGATTAGTATGCTTGACCCAGACTTGATTAACTAGATTTGATTAGTATGCCTGACCCAGACTTAATTAACTAAATTTGATTAGTATGCTTGACCCAGACTTGATTAACTAGACTTGATTAGTAGGCCTGACCCAGACTTAATTAACTGATCAGTATACTTGACCCAGATTAGGATATATTTGATCAGATGCCTGACCCAGACTTGATTAACTAGACTTGATTAGGAGGCTTGACCCAGACTTAATTAACTTAATTTGATCAGTATGCTTGACCCAGACTTAATTAACTAAATTTGATCAGTATGCTTGACCCAGACTTAATTAACTAAATTTGATCAGTATGCCTGACCCAGACTTAATTAGCATCCTTGTGTAATTCCTGGATGGCGCTGCATGAGTTTCTGCAGAGTTAAACTGCAGCCTATATATTTTTGCCCGTTGGTTGGTTGTGATGTGTGAAGTGCATTGCTGAAAACGGAAAACAGTCGTCACACACATTCAGTGACATGTGTGATAAGGGTTTTCATATAAGAACACATGGATTCAAAAAACAGTTTATTTGAAACTCAGTTAGATTAAAATAACATGATGTGATGTGAATGTACATATATGTGAAATGTTAGTGGCACCCAGAGAAGAATGGGAGAGCAGAGTGGATGTACAGATTATTATACATTTCTGACATAAATACCACCACACAATTTTTTACAGCATTGGCATATTGTGAGTGAGTTAAGATTTAAAATAGCATCAGCATTATTTCAGCCATATAGCGAGGTGATAAATTTTCATGAAATTTTTAATTTTAGAAAATAAAAATTAAACCCATGCACCCATCCCCAAAAAGCCAAAACAAAAAAACAAAGAAAAACACCCTAAACAATCAAACCCTCACCCCCCCAAAAAAATATAAAACAACTAAAAACAAAAATAACAACAGAAAACCCCAAAACAAACCAAAACCCCCAAAACCCAACAAAACAATGCGTACCAAAATAAACGTTGCAGCTGCAACAATGATTACAAGTAAACTTTGACCAGAGGCATCAACAATGAACAACTGTTTGAATAAAAAGGTATGCATGTACTGTTTATTCAGCTACTCATATTTCTATATTCTGTTAACTCCCTTGCCTTGGGAAGATGTCATGAATGACGCCCAACCCTCTCAGCACAATGCAAGTAAATATGAATCATATGATAATCCTATTGATTCACTGCCAATACGTCCTTGTCGCGAACGCTGAACAACTGTACCACTCAACTTATCATAAGCAATCTCCAGTCCCAAATGCGACTGAATGTGACCACAGATTGACGTAATGTGATTAATCTGAGACCAATATCGGTATATGGTCTCTGGATTAATATATGTAATCATTTATGTAAATATACATATATAAGTATCACATTGTACATAGGTGCTAACGCTATGTTAAATCACAATGCCCCTTCCAAACGTTCATAACTAAACTGACGAGCAAAAGAAAGTACACAGGTGTAATTGTTGTTGCAATCCCAAATATGCGTTCGAACTAATAAAATTATTGAAAAACATTGATTGTATAGAACGCAACCATCATATTTCATTTGCCAAAATGCAACTAAAAACATTTGTACGTGTTTTGCACGAATTTTTGCAAAATTGTGATTATTGTCCCATGCACCAGCACTTTTCTGACAGAGAGTATAAAACCTGTTTGTCGTGAAGACTGAACAATCACTTGACAGAAATCTCACGAGGAAATGCCAAGATTGACGTCGGCGCAACGAGAACGGGCCAAAGGAATGACACAAATGGGTGCTTTCAACAGCGATATTGCAAGGACATTGGGTTGCACAAGACAAACCATAATTCGGCTGTTTAACCGTTTCAGTACGACAGGCCAGACATGTGATTGACCCAGAAGTGGACGTTCCAGAGTCACAACACCCCAAGAGGATCGCTATCTGCGGGTTATTCACCTACGCAACTGACGTCATCAGCAACCACATCATTGGGTCATCGCGTAAGCCGATTCACAGTGACAAGACGTCTTCGTCCTGCTGGCATGTATGGGCCTACCGACCGCTGCGTGGAATGGCCTTGACCTTCCAGCATCGTAGGAACCGTCTGCAGTGGTCATCACTACATCGCTGTTTATTGTTACAATGTCATTTTGCTGATAAAACACGTGTATTGCAGTGTGCTTCAACATACATTTTCCATTTCATCAAAAGGTTTTGTTATTTTTATCTTATTGGAAGAAACACAACCTGTGTACTTTCTTTTGCACATCAGTTTATACACTCCGAATTTTAAAGCTGTTAAGAACAGAAAGGGTATATATGCATGTCTGTGTTTCTGGTGTACCTGGGAAATTGCGGGAATGCTCACTTATTTTGAGACACCCAATGTACAAATACATCAGAATCAGGTGAATAATTAGGTTGCAGCTACTGAATAGCAGAGACAGGCATATGTCTTTTTCTCAGTGTGCGAAATGGTGACTTGTGTTACTTCAAAAGTGTACAGAGCGATGCTGGGAGACATTAAAATAAAAATCCATAAAAACGAAATAGGTCATTTCTTTGATAGGTTATGATACAGAATCAGATCTTGGCAATGATGTAGTGACTATGATATATACTGTAAGGTGTACGGACAATTCCCCATCAGGACAATTCCCCACTAGGACAATTCCCCATCTTGACATTTCCCCACACCTGTTTTGTAATCAGTAGGACAATTCCCCCCTCATCAGAAAATTGTAGATTCAATAGATGCCATCAAGATCAAAACAAACGCAAGTGTGTTTCACGCTTCGCCTCACCCCTCATCCATCACAACAGCCTTCCCTCCGACCTACTTACAATAACAGCCACATGTATCATAGCTCGGCCATCAAGCTCGGCCATCAAGATCAAAACAAACGCAAGTGTGTTTCACCTCACTGACTCTTTTAAATTGACTCTATCCAGGGCAAGTGACTCTTGTACTCACAATCTATTGTATATTTTCATTTCCATTCTATTCTCAATTCATGTTTGTTTCCCAAATCATTGTATATACTCTTGTACATATTTGCTCTCAATCCTTCGCCATTCCAAGTGAATTCCAAGTTCGACTGAATGAACTGATGAAAAATGAACTCATTACATAATTATATATATAACTTCTTAACTATATTAATGCAACATATATATACAATCTCAGCTTGTGTTTGTCCATTATCTGTGATGGGTGTGGGGAATTGTCCTACTGGTTACAAAACAGGTGTGGGGACATGTCAAGATGGGGAAATGCCATGTGGGGTATTGTCCTAGTGGGGAATTGTCCTGATGGGGAAATGTCCTACACTCATACTGTAAGTATACGATTACATCTGTAGCATTATAGTTTGTCTTGAGCAACAGTTCAACATATCAATTAGCCTCGATGTACACAGTTTTCGTTCACATTTCGTCACTATCCCTTGCCGTCTTCAAGGAGAATGTTTCTCTTCATGTGCCTGCAGAATTCTGAAACAGACATGGAACCCCCAACTTAGAGAACATCATCATATGCAGTCTCTCACATCTAGAGACAGCGCGATTAAACACCTATTCAGCTTATTTGAATCGTTAAAAAATCTTAACTGTGTTGGACCAATGTGCATGTACTCCAACATGGCTAGGTGTGGCTTTAAAGGAGAAATCAAAGGAAAACACTACTGTCAACTGTATGATCCAAACTTTTAACAGAGACTTAAGAGAGTCGTAGCAGTGAGGTTCGTTTGTGGAACTATGCCTTGTTTCAAGAGACATGGCGATGTGTTTGTTCCAAGCAGTAATAGCCTTCACAAAACATCGCCAGTTGAGTGAAGGACATGTCTAATGAATGCTAGTACACATGCTTCAAAGTACCTGTGTAGTCGATCTTGCCGTCTCCGTCAGTGTCAGCCTCCTTCATCAACGCCTCCACCTCCTCCGTTGTCATCTTGTCTCCTGTCGCCAAAATGTGTCCGCATTACGCCAATGGTTAACCACGATATACAGAATCACAAGAAACCAGCAAAATTTGTTTCATGTCGGAAACTCGCTATTTGAAACACAAGACGGTATCGATTCCATTTTAACCCACTATTCGCTGCATCCGAGTTCGTTATAACTATTAAATACGATTTCGTTTCACCTACGAAAATATGAAAGTAATGGTCAGTAGGTAGACTCAGTGGAACCAATCAGGGCCGCTAAAGACCTTGTCATATGGAATACTTAGGAACTATACTAGGTGTTGATACGCATGTGACACATAGCTTGTGATCAAGTAAAATTGTTGTGTTTAGCACGCACCCAGATTGACCATGACGTCCTTGAATTCATCAGCGTCGATGAAGCCGTTTCCGTCTTTGTCAAAGACTTGGAAGGCTGCGGAGAGGTCGTCATCCATCTCGTCCCGGCACACCGTAGTCAGTTCTTCCTCAACCATGAAGCGCTCAAAGTCGGCGTAGTCGACGTATCCATCTCCTACAACAGTAACAACGATGTCAGTCGAACCCATCACTTACTACAGTATCAAAGAACTCAGCCTACGAACTATTCACCTACACAGTTGACCCTACACCCAGTAAACTGCACAAGCCGCCATGTGTGATGGAAGCCCCGGGCAACCAGACACTGATTATTTAAATGCAAACAACCCATTTTCTGTAAGTGACTTCTCTCGAAGAACGATTAAACCGAAAAACAGAGATGCTGAATTTATGGATTATACAGTGCCGGATGTGTTCGAAGATGCGTGCTTGGATCGGTGAGTGGATGAGTGTGTGGATGGATGCGTGCGCGTGAGGATGGATGTATGCGTTGGTATTTGCGTTGATGCGTGTGGGGATGGATGCTTGGACCTGGGCAGTGCAGGTTCCTGAATGCCAAAGGCAGAATATTTTGAACCTGTTCCTATATCATTTCACTGCGGTACGATTAAATATATCTCCAGGGCTCCTTACCATTTGTATCAAGCCTGTCGAGGAAGGCCCGCAGCTGCCCGTCATTGGCCACGATGAAGAATGCCCGGATGATGGTGCCCATCTCCTTGGTAGTCACTCTACCGTCATGGTCAACGTCAAACAGTTCAAACGTCTCTTGGATTTCTGTCGAAAACATCGCACCATACGGACTTCAACATGTTACGAATTCTTACGAACAAATCAAAATGAATTTTTGAACGCATTCGGGGTACAAATCAGAAGATCGTTTAAGTGAACCTGATTGTAAATTCAGAGGGATGGGCATCCTCACATTGCAAGACAGAGAGCCCGACCATCCGATCCTGTTAACTGCCTGTTCTTGTTGCTGAAGACCAACCCTAACCTTCCGGATATTCACGGAGGCCATGAACATGTATAAACACCTTTGCTGCATATGCTGTTTTCCATTCAGCCACACCAATAGCAATAGATCACAACGATAATATAGCATTAGGACCGATTCGTCCCCATAATGCCATTAAGTGTTCTAAACGGCTGGATAGATGGTACATTTGGACTGATGAAGAATCGATGTTCTTTATTTGCTACTTGCAATGACATTATCCTGTTTCATTTTTTTAATTCCATATCAGAAATAATCTTTAAACAAGTTCTTTGTAAATCGATTTTCTATTTGCTAATCCGGAAGATAAACTTATCGTCAATGTAAGGTGGACATTTGAGCCTAATTGTTAGGGAACATGCACCAGGAAGCGGAAGTTTGTTAAAAGCAGTAACTAAATGCTTAAGTGGATTTCAACTGGCGGCGTGTCATGTCGACACCAGCGGGATGAGCCTGCATAGCAGCGCGGAGAGAATGAGTCAGTTAGTGCAAGTTAGTTGGTATGCACCAGTTAACACGAGTTAGTTGTGGTGATTGATGCTGCTTGCAGTAGTATTAAACACGTGAGAATTAATCAAGTACCACCCACATTTGTATATAATTACGAAAACTCTGGATGTTGTTGTATATGCTTTTAAAACCAAATTCGGCGTATAAAAATGGTATCTGTAATATATGTTACTCTGATTTAAAATAAAACTGAAATGTGGTAACTGTTTGCTGGCAAATCTCAGAGAAATATATTAAAGACGTGAATATCAACTATGCCTGATAGTATTGTCACCATGACTACACCACGACTCTGATTGTCGCACCGTCTTCAAATAATGATCGTAATGATTGTAGGAACTACCACTGGCGACCGCAAAACCTGGTGCACGGATAAAATCTGACAGTCTCCTTGTCATACCGGCAATCAAGCATCGAATTCGCTGCATCGACTGATGCCTGTGTCTGTCATTCCTCACGGAGTGTCTGCATCCATTCCTGCAGTTTTTGAACATGAGGGGGTTTATATCTAGGCACTTTGTGGGCCATGGTAATGTTTCCATGGTGGTGTTTCGCAAATGGGCGATGACGACCAGAGAACGGCGAGGTATTGAGTTGTCATTAATGAATATTGACGAATGGCAAGGGAATGGTTATCAAAATGTGGCACGACGGCGGTATCCAGCACTTCCTGTTGATAGCGTTGAACACTGTGTGTCCTAGGTACTGTAATGAGATCCAGCTTGACACCATGACATCATGAGCCACCACCAAAAGGTTGAGCTGTATGGACAATCGCCTTGTTACGACGTCTCAACGGCCGTCGGTAACGTGTGAAAGATTCTTTCATGAGACCACTGAACCCTATGCCGTGTCCTCAGTTTGTGGTTTTCTCGGAGCCTTAACCACGCCTGAAATTCCTGCCTGTGCCTATTTGTGTGGAATCGGACGATTGTCCCTCAGGCCAGAAACTCGCAGCCTGCAGCCTCATTCTGATAGTACTGGTGGAATCAGAATCTCAAATCTCCCATCTCTTTTCTGCATCTGCCATGGGATTGTGTTTTACCAGACGGGTTGAGAACCGGTCATTGCGGTCATTGGTCTTCCTCGGTCTTCCATGTCGTAGACGACCCTTTACTTCACCGGTGGCCACGTGCGTGTTCGTAAGCCGACTAATAACTTTCAAGTTAGCACCGATGCTGCGACAGGACATCTCTGCGTCATGGAGCGAGCGAGTTTAGTTTGACGCCGCACTCAGCATTATTCCAGCTATATGGCGGCGGTCTGTAAATAATCGAGTCTGGACCAGACAATCCAGTGATCAACAACATGAGCATCGATCTGCGCAATTGGGAACCGATGACATGAGTCAACCAAGTCAGGGAGTCTGACCACCCGATCCCGTTAGTCGCCTCTTACGACAAGCATGGGTTACTGAAGATCAATATTCTAACCCGGACCTTCACGGGTTCCCTGCGTCATGCATGCCAGTGACGTGCCATCGTGTGTTTGCTGAATGTCCACATCTTGACATGTCAAGATAAGTTAATTTTAGTAATGTCGTCTTTTAAATAAGTTCCACTGAAGTGCATAAACTGCAATTATGAAATTTATACCCCAATGTGCTTGGCGTCTTCGCAGCACGCGAACATGCGAACGACAGAGTTTGAGATATTATGCGAAGCAGTACATGTGCATTTCAATATGCTAGGGTACGATCGCCGGATTTGACCAAAATTGTAATAATTGCCCTTTTGGTTCAGGGGTGCTTAATTAAAGCTCATGTGTATATTTCGCGACAGAGAACACTACCAACACGTGTGTGCGACATTAGAGAAAATCAAAACTCCAGGAACACGATATCCCATCAGGGATCAGGGTGTAATTTCATTCGGAGCTGACAAGCCAGTGAATGACGCAGTGAGGGCAGGGTGTCATGTCATGCCACGAAGACGTCAAAGACATAGTGAACCGCGAATACCATTCATACAAAGTTGGCACACTATAGGACCCCGCTACATTCCTAACAGACTATACCCTCGACATATTTCAGTAACTGTAAAACTACCACATTTGCCAAATACTAATATATAATCCTGATATGCGTAAGACACTGTACAAGGCCGACATGCCTCAGACAAATGACAATTTCGGGAGCGTGGGTGCTTGTGAACGAATGCTGTTTTACGCCACTGGCAGCATGTTCCATCTGTATCGCTACGGCCTCAATGGTCTACTAGGAAGACTTGGCCGCACATTTTGGGATGGCGTAACGTGACCTATACAGCCAGCACTTTGCTAACACGTACCTTTCTTCTGCTGGTCTGTAACCTGAAAAATTAAAAAAATTTTTAGAAAACATTACAAACGAAACACCATCTCATTCATATAAAAGGCAAATATTATGGATGACAACTTCTTCTTTATTGTATGTCACAACGTTTCTGGCTATTAAACGTTGTGACGGTATGACAAAGAATAAAAAAAGACGTTGTCATCCATAATATTTGCCATTTACTTGAATACCAACTTCCAAATGCCTGTCAAGAACCTCATCTCATTCAGAGCCTGTAGAACATGTATATCTTGTTCAGTGATCGTAGATACAGGAACAGAATTATTAGTTGTCTGTGAAGAATGACACGGGGATGAGTGGGTAAGGTTTGGGTGTGTGGTATGTTTGTATGTTTGTATGTTGGTGTGTTGGTCAGTGGGTTTGTGGGTGTGTTGGGTTATGTGTTTCTGGGTGTGTTGGTTTTTGTGTTTGTGGGTGAATGGGTGTGTGGGTGTTTTTGTGTTGGTGAGTGGGTGTGTCGGTTTGTGTTGGTATATGGGTGCGTGCGTATGTATGTCTAGGTGTATGTGTGTATGTGTGAATGAGCATGTGAGTGACCTGTATAAACAGCCACCGATGTTGCAGTTGTTGCAGTTGTTGCTGTAGTAGCTCGCAGTAGATATATTTTTGTTGTAGCAATAGCCGCAGTTGCAGTAATCGGAGCAGTGGTAATGAATGTCGTTGTTGTAGTGAATGAGACATAGAGGATACTAAACGACCTTCCGTGAAATACCATTTTTATTAAACGAGTTAATGATTTGGTATCAAACGAGCGAAAGCGGGTTTGATACTAAATCTTTCACGAGTTTAATAAAAATGGTATTTCACGGAAGCGAGTTTAGTATTCTGTTTATTACTCTCCAACATAAATTGATAGAAACTGCCTACAGTGTGATGACTCTCAGCTTTCCGCGAGTCAAGCAAGGTCTAATACCATTGTGACAGAGGTATTAGCATTGTGACGTCATAACTGTAAACCATTATGACGTCATGCGTCTAGCGGTATTACACTAGTGTAATATTGACGTAAAAATATTACACTGCAGTATCTTCCACGGGAGAGTAATAAATTGTAGTAACAGCCACCGACGGCGTAGTAGATGAAGTTGTTGTATTGAGTCAGTTTTAACAGTAACATACGCCGTTGTTGTAGTTACTGCAGTAGATACAGCGGTAGTCTGTCTCACAGTCCCTGAACCATATTATTTTCCCTACTGCCTAGCCCTCCCTGCAGAGACTAAGCGTTAGTCTAATACAGCGGCAGTACAATGGCGATTGTAGCAGCGACTATCTCTCATGATTTATTACAGTCAGTGCACTGGGATGTTTACCAGGTAAACATTCTTCGACAATCGCGTGCATCCTTGCTTTTCAGCATCCGCTGGTGCATGTCACCTGTCCAGCAGCGTTTAACTGCGCGTCCACGCGCTGTGTGAAAGCATATATCACCCTTACTAATCTGCGCAGATGCTGCAGTGCCTAAACATTGATGGACATTGCATGTTCCCGGGGCTTTTTATGCAACTCCGCAACCTGCTGAGCCGGAGTATAAACAACAGAGTTAAAAGCCTCTTTGCCACTGTTATCGATTACACGCGTCAAGCGATGAAATATCTACCCCACACGGATACCGCCACTTGATTGATTGGTGAAATGTGAGAGATTGATAACAATAGGCTTCCTGGTAGGTTTACCGTTAAGGGTATATCAACGCTGGCTGTATACATGCATGTACTGATTCTAACCACAGAATTAGATAAATTAAAACATATACCTGTAAAACAACTTATTATAAGTAAAAAAGAAACTCGTTCACACACCTACACCCACCCAGACACATACACAGACACACGCCATATTATGCACATGCACACGCATCTATACACAAACACATACACGCGAACACAGGCACACTCAGACAAAAGCTCGACTGGCCAATTTAGCTAGTTCATTAATTATGAAATAAAGCCAATTGTCCATTAAGCCAGAAACCTAGATATACATAAGTGATTGCGACACTTCAGAAGAGTTTTCGTTAATTGAAAAGTTGTTTATGAAGCAATTTTGGACGATAAGCCTAAAATGAATGATCTTAGTTTTTGTGGGATTAACATTTAACACCTAAGTTACATATTTTGCTCTGTTTTGTCCGTGGGAGCCAAACATGAGACTTCTTCAGCGTATAACATAATACCATCCATAAATCTTTCTTATGAAGATCACAATTCATACTTTTTATATTGGCTGCCAGTTCGTTAATGTAAACAGAGAACAATAGTGGCAAGATAAGGCACCCTCACCTTAGTTCCATTGGGTGCTGAAACCAGGGTGAAAGCAATCCATTGGCTCATACAACACACTTTGCTGTATAAAGAGTTAACATCTTCAAACGCCTTTTCCCATTGGGTGCCATTTTAAAGTATTTTAAACCATTAACAACCCCTGTTAACAATATCGAACGCCTTTTCCATATCAACAAAACAGCAAAATTGTTAACAATTTTGATTATTTTCTATTTTTGATGACTGTACAAATCCAGACAGCTCCGTTTTTTTCTAATCCATTTTGCTCCTCAACTAAAATACCATTCTTAAACGCCACTCGCTGTATCGTATGCTTAGAATGCCACAATAAACATTAGAGAAATACCTCTGTGTGATTGAGGACAGTAAAATGGGTATCAGATTCAGCAAACGGATATATGATGCTCTGTTGCCATGCATCCAACACCGTTATTAAAACCAATGAGTCATCATTTCAAACAATATGCCCACGCAGACTGGATTTTTCAGACACTTAGCCGGAAGATTATCGATACCCGACGCCTTTCTAGATTTAGTGCGCTCTGTTGCTTCCTTCTACTACCATCAAGAGATCACAGTTTGTTGTATCTTCACTTGAAGATGAACATTTGATAATTCTTGTATTATATTATCCAGGTGTTCATTATCACAATTACTATCAGAGTGTGGATCGTACCCGTATAATTATTCAAAGTCACCCTTTCAAGGACAGATCTAGAGCAGGTATCACAAACAATATTTATTTCAGTGTCCCTGACCTCAAAGGGTAGTTTACCCTGTACGGTCGCTAGCTAGAGCTAATCCACCAATCATTGTCCAGGGGTTTCTCGTGTCAGAATTATCGAACGTATCGTTCAGTGTCATCTGCTTCTCAGGCTGCTGGAAACGTTTATATTGTATATGTTGATTATTCATTTTTTTTCTTTGACTGTTGTATATCTGACAAGATCGTTTCATGCCCGTTGGTCTACATGATAAACATTCCCTCTCTCTCGCACATACATCCTCCCATTTCACCACGGTACAGTCACACCCGTACAAAACACACCCTCTCATTTCGTCACGAACCTTGGTACAGTCACACCCGTACAAAACACACCCTCTCATTTCGTCACGAACCCTGGTACAGTCACACCCGTACAAAACACACCCTCTCATTTCGTCACGAACCTTGGTACAGTCACACCCGTACAAAACACACCCTCTCATTTCGTCACGCACCCTGGTACACTAACACCCGTACAAATCACATCGTCTCATTTCGTCACGAACCTTGGTACAGTCACACCCGTACAAATCACATCCTCCCATTTCGTCACGAACCTTGGTACAGTCACACCCGTACAAATCACACCCTCTCATTTCGTCACGCACCCTGGTACACTAACACCCGTACAAATCACATCCTCCCATCTCGTCAACTACCCTGGTACAGTAACCACACAATTTCGACAAGCACCAATCTATTAATCAGGGCAAGTTGACTGCAGCAAATATCTTGAGTACTTCGACCCTTGAAGCCAGCCAATATACTGTCATCAAGTGATCTGACCCCCTGCATACAAAACACGGTGTCTCCAAAACCGACTGACGACGATAACTCGGCAAACCGTTACAAAACCACACAAATACATTGTTAACCAACTTCACATATTAGCACAGAGCTCACGGCTGTCGAAGCGAGCGTGCCAAGTAGCAATCGCAATTTGGTTAAAGCTCAAGTTAATCTCCTGGACCAGGTGTGTTTGATATGAGGTCGATATGGTGTCAGCTGAATGAGGCTAGGCAACCTTGGCATGGCAGGGAACAGAATTGGACAGCAGTCGCGTTTAACATTGTAGTGCAGAAAAGGAACTAATCGACTCCTTTCACTGGAGAGTTATCCCCCTTTAAAGTTAAACGTGATAATAGGGCCTGTAATGCAAGGCTTACTCTATATTCCCGGCGGCCATGGCAGCCCCGTTTCCCCAAAACGTAGTGCGCCGTGGGAGTTTGGCCATTTGTCCCTCCAAAGTCAAGTTTTGTGGTCCTGCTGAGTTTTCTCACGGTCTATCACGGTATCCGTGATGGGCCGTTTAGAAACACGGACTGAGTCCCGGAAGCTCAAAGACGCACTACAGTTCAGCCCGCAGTCCACTACGGATGCCATTACGTTTCCTCCCGGCCTGTCGCATTCTGATCGGTTCCCTCATGTTTCTCACGTTTTGATCAAGGTTTTGACACGTTTTGCGCGTTCTGTCAAGATTTTCTACGGATGAAACGTTGACGCCGGCTAGCTTTGTGCCGTGAGAACCGGGACAAAACGGGCACCAAGGGTGAAACAATCGTGACCAAACATTGAAAGGACCGTGACATGCCGGGGAATACACATACCTCCCGTCCCACTACAGATCCACTACGGACGGCTCCCTTTGCGCGCACCAACTTGCGATATGCGAGACGGGGCCCAGCTTACTTACGGTACCAGATTTCCGGTGACATGTCTGATTCTCCAATCTCACTTGGGTTCCTTTTAAACTTATATTTAAACGTAGAATATGGGTTTTTTAAAATTTGGGGTAAATTTGTCGTAACCGGTAGCATCTGAAGGGATGGTGTAAATACAGCTTGGGTCCATGCAGGTAGCAAGGTATTTTAAGTCTGTAAGTCTCCATGGTTAAAATTTAAAGATCTACCATATCATGGTTGCTACC